GGAAGAGAATCGGCACAATGACCAAACACACACTGTTCTGCTAGAATAATTGTATAATTTTTTATTCCGCCACAGATACAGCCAAAGCAAAGCAGCAATACTACAATCACACTCAGATGTACAATCTCACAAGTATTGATGTAAAAAGAGCTCTCACCATGACACGTAGGCTGGAGAGCTGCACAGCCCCAAGCAGAGCAAACACCAACACAAAACTGGACGTCCCGATCGTAGACTCACAGCAGACTCTGACTCTTTACTGAGCGCTCTCTTATTTTATACTTTCCCACCCTCTACATCGCGTGAAAGCATCTCCCAGTGAGCAAAACATGTTTACAACTTAGGATACATGTTTACTGGGAAAACTCAGGATAACATGCGAGGAGGGGATGGCTCATCTAATCTGAGCTGGGAACCTTGGCTCTTCTGAGCAAAACATGTTTACTCAGAAACTCAGCTTGTTCTTCTGAGCAAAACATGTTTACTCAGAAACTCAGAGACTCAGGATAACGTGCGAGGAGGGCGGGCCAAGTCCTCCTCCCAGGCCCCCAAGTGACCCATGGGAATATTCCTCTCTGCCTCAAAAACACTTTATATCACAGTTAGCTTCAAAACATTTTATATAACAGTCAGAAAAACAACATTATTTAAACTCTCAACTCACCCACGCTGATTGCAAGATTACTAGTAACTAAAAAGGCAGAAGAAAAAAACAACTCTATAAAAAGACTTCCGGCATGAAGACATCAGTTTGAACTAAAAGAATGTTGTGAAACGTCTCTGGGTGGAGCTTTTGTGCTTAAATACAGAAGGAGCTGAAACTCCGCTCAGACGCGTCTTGGGTTTTTGCTGTATCTCTGTTGGTATGGGGTAAGAGCGTTAAGCTGAAAGCTTTAATAAATGTTGGTAATACTTGAATCTCTCTGACTTATCATTGTGTCTTTTCTCCATGTATCTCCGAACCAATGAGAGGAACAGTTGAATAGACTGAAAAGTCTGAGTTGGTGTGTTGATTTTCCTTGACAATTTTGGTGCCGGTAACCCGGAATATCGGAGAAGGATGATTGGTAACCGGAGAATTGGACACCAACAGGGGTCATTCAGTATAGCTCCACGGGCCAGCAAACAGGTAAGAGGAATTTTCTTTATCCTCTCTGTAGCGTTGAACTGAGTGATCGTGTTGTAAAATATTTTTGTCAGTAGAGATTGAGTGTAAAAGTTTTTTGAAGTAATATATTGGTTGTAAGCTTGTGTAAGGATTAGAAAATATAGAGTTGTGAATAAAGAAGGCAGGTCAGGGACCTGGCCTGGGGTCTGGGATCCCTGTGTGTGTCAACAAAGTCTGGGACTTCTGTCAGTCGGGAGTGGTGCCCCAAACTTCTTCCCGGATGCAGGGGAAGGTAGCCAGGTTGGATTGAGTTTTCCTGTAGAATGTGACTGCCCACAAATAGAACAAGAGTTGACCACATATGTGTGAGAACTGTCAGAGAAACTTCAATGGTGATGACAGGTTCTGATGATTATTGAAAAAAAGTGTATTTTTTGATTGTGAGAAACTGAAAGCTGTTCAAAACAAGATCGGATCAGAGAGAGTGACTGAAGTGAGTGAAGATCTGCGTAACGAGAGTGTGTGTGTTTGAGGAGAAGCTCTTTGCAGTGTGATTTCGGTGGTTTAATTGCTTTACCGTCAAGCAAGCTTGAGTTTTCTCACCGCCAAGTGAGAAAACAAGTCCATCCATTATCTTTACCCATTTATTCCATTTTGGGTCACGGGGGTCGCCGGTGCCCATGTCAAGCAATCACTGTGCGAGGGGTGGGGTACACCCTGGACAGGTCGCAAGTCCATCACAGGGCCACATAGAGACAAACGAGACAAACAACCATTCACTTTCTCATGTACACCTAGGGACAATTTTAGAGTTACCAATCAGCCTAACATGCAGGTTTTTGGTCTGTGGGAGGAAACCGGAGCACCTGGAGAAAACCCACGCATGCACGGAGAGAACATGCAAGCTCCACCCAGAAAGGCCTCTGGACTGGGGTTTGAACCAAGGACCTGCTCGCTGAGAGACAGCAGCTCTACCAGTTGTGCCACCGTGCTGCCCAAGAAAACACTTCATTTTGTGTAAAACATAATGTTATACAGACAAAACGTGACAAAATGAACGGTGAATTTGACGCAGACATTGACGCTTGAGGGTGGGGTCAGGGTCCCTGGCTCCCTCTCGAAACTCAGATTGAAAATTTAGTAACATACCTGACGGACTATGATGACTCGACAAAGAAAAAATCAGAAAAAATAAAAGAGAAGATAACTCAGGCAGTAGTGAAACAGGAAGTCCCACTAAGTTCATGCAAACCTTTAGGAGGATTTTTACAAAAACAACTGCGAACGATGAGACAGGAAGTAAAAAACAATATGCAGAAAGAACAAGAAGCAAGCGGGCTAGGAAAAAGAAAATGTAATAAGAACAGAGAAGAAGCAGAGAAAAAGTTGAAAAAGTGTGAAAAATTAATTGTGTCATGGCAAGGGATTAAACACACTCTGGAGCAGGCAACACCGGAAGTGAAGGGTAGAGCAGCCATACAGCAAGTGAAGTCGTCTATGCCCCCGTATCCAGGGTCGGAACAGACCGCCTCAAAGGGAGGGACCTCCGTTAACAGGGAGGAAAAAAACCCTAGGGGGCTGGACCCATCCAACTGAACTAACACAGGGGACGCTGGTTTTAGAAAATACCAATACCAACCCATTTAGACAAGCAGCAGCACCATCAGAGTCAGAGTCAGAGTCAGAGTTTCTTTATTGTCATTCGCACCTCATGTGGTACATGTGGTGGAGCGAAATTATGTACACGGGGTCCCAGTTACATCCAACAATAAAATGTATAAGAAAAACAGTAATAACATCTAAGATATGAACTAAGAAAAACATCAACTAAATATACACTAAGCACACATAACATAAAACAATGAACATCAGCACAAACATGAACATGAGTCTGTGAGCAGATGTGCACGCATGAACACATCAACATTGAAACAGATCAGCAGCAACATGAAACAGATCAGCAGCAACATGATATGGTTTTTCACAGTGATTATTCTAGTTAGAGATTCATGAGTCTAACAGCCTCAGGGTAGAAGCTGTTCCTCAGTCTAGTGGTTCTACACTTAATGCTCCTTAACCTCCTTCCTGAGGGGAGTGGGGCAAAAAGTGTGTGTGCTGGGTGAGTGTGGTCCTTCATGATGCAGGTGGCCCTCTTCCTGCATCTGGAGGTGTAGATGTCTGTGATGGTGGGGAGGCTGATTCTGACAGATTTCTGTGCAGCCTTCACCACTCTCTGCAAAGCTTTTCTTTCTGCAGCTGTGCAGCCTCCATGCCATACATTGATGCTCGAGCACAGGATGCTCTCCACTGCGCACCTGTAGAAGGAGGTGAGGACTGAGCTTCCCAGACCAGCTCACCTCAGCCGTCTGAGGAAGTAGAGTCTCTGATGAGCTTTCTTGATCAGGCTGGTGGTGTGGACTGTTGTCATGTGGACTGTTGGAGGAACAGCCTGAAAAGCCTGACCTGTTCAGCACCTCCATGGCCCAAAACAAAGGTTTTTGCACCTCTTCCACTCATAAACAAAGAGGAATTGGCAGTGGCAGTCAGTCCAGCCTAAATTACAGCATGGGCTCAGGGAAGGACAAAGAGGCGAATAAAACAGAAGAACATATAAAAAAAAAACTTAGAAAGAATGGTGGCTCACAGCAAAGAAATGATTGAACAATGCAAGCGCCAAATGAAGAGATTAGAGCATGAGCTGCAGGGTACACAAGGAAGACAATCTGTCAGAGTATCGATGACCACTAGAGGACATTTGATACCTGAACAGGAAGAGCAGGAGAATATCCGATTTATAACAGAGGAGGAAACAGATCATGAAACTGACAAAGTAAGAACCACATTAGGCCATTTACGAGAGGTTGAGCCCTCACAAACAGCCCATACCTCTGGTAGAACCCACACAATGACAACAAGAGGATTAGATAAAAAACTTGATGAGGCTGAGTACATGTTTCCGTTACTACTAGAGTTCTGGGGGTTGCCAGAAATATGTGCCCTTCCCAGTGGGAGACAGAGATGCTCTGGTTGACAAACTCCCAAGCATCTCTGCAGGAGGCAGATTGTGGCTTTCCAAACTAAGTGGTCTCACCAGTGGAATGTTCCTGGCCCTAGGAGACTTTAGAGCAATCCTGGGACGATGTGTGATGCCTCTGGTGGCCAGAGAATTAGAAACAGTAGCACATACCAATAAACTGGGCAATGAGGTCCCACTGAGTCAAGTAATAACAGAGTTAGGATGTGCAATCAGAGACCAGTACCCATTATCCACTCCTGCAACTATCCCTAAGTTTGAGTAAGAACCTCAAGTCCACCCCAAAGATTATATTACCCTGGCAGCTGAAAAGTGGATGAGACACACAATAGTAAATCCTAAAGTAACACCCTCTAATTTAACTGAATTATTTAGAGAGGCAGTCCTGAAGGGAGTGCCCACATCTGTGGCAGAGCTGATGAGACAATATCCAGATCTCCCTGGGTGTGACTACACTAAGTTGGAAAGACATCTAATATACCACCTGCAAACAATACAACAAGAACAAAAAAAGAAAAATAATGATAAGGCTGAATTAGAAAATCAATTGCTTAAATTAAAGCTGCAGGAAGCTAGACAAAAACCAACAAACAATAAGGAGAGGACAGGGAATGTGATGGTTGCAGTGGCTCCACAGCTCCTTCTCCTGCTGGGGCACAATATACTAATCAATATCCTGGAAGAGTAGCCCCTCCTCCTTCTCCTTTTCCCTATCCTGAAAACCCTCTCCCTCCTCCTCCTCTTCCTTTCTATCAAAATCAATACAGGTCTGCTGGCTTCGGTCGTGGCGGGGCTGGAGTACTGGTGGTGGCTGAGGATGGAGATGCATGGGGTAGGGACAAAGGGGAAGAGGTGGATATGGAGGAGCTGCTGCTGACATCTGCTACAACTGTGGAAGACCAGGCAATTAGGCCAGAGATTGCCGAGCTCCACCACAAGGACGAGTGCCACCCAGTAGACAACAAGGTATGCTGCCACACAACCCAGCAGCAATACCCACTATGAACACAGGAGGGCAGTATCTGCAGTGGGAAGACTTTCCCACTCCTGGTACTTACTGACACACCCCTGAGAACCAACAGGGTAGCATGGGCACAGACCCTATGTTACCGGCAAGAGTAGGAGGACAAGAAATGAACTTCTTGGTGGACACAGGAGCCACTTACTCTACAATGACAACAGCTCCTGTCAACTACCTATCCTTAAAAACTGTGTCATTAATGGAGTTCTCAGGGACAGAGCAACATCTGTCCTTGACTGTACCACTTCCATTTCAGATAGGAACACAAAAATTACAACATTCATTTGTCTGTTCACCTGCAACATCAGTCAACTTGATGAGAAGAGACTTACTGATAAAGTTGGGAGCAACTGTACTCTGCGGGGCACAAGGGGTGAGAGTTCAATTCCCCGATGGCTCCTATTTGTGATGTGTTGAACTATGCACAGATGGACAGTACTTGATGCAACTAGTGGCTCCTGAACATGCTGATATCTACTGGGGCTGCATGACTGCTGAAGGCTCTAGTCCACTGCTGAAGCTGTTGCAACAATGGAAGCCTTGGATCCTGAGTGTACACGCCTATGCCTCTCCTCCCGACCCCCCGCATTTCACGCTCTTCTATGACGAGAGCCACGCAGACTGTTATTAAGTGTAACCCCCCCCCACCCACCCTTTGAAAAGGGGCTGGACCAAAATCACCACAACAAATAAGCAAGTTAAAACTAATTTTATTGTAAGGACCGGCTTTAGTGTAATTGGGTCGAGACTGGTTCTGGTGTCGAGTTGTGGGTGTCTGGGCTGGAATGAGTCTGTTGACAGGAAGAGATCGGTTAGTGGGCAAGCTGGAGACAGGGGCAACTGTAATAGTTAAAGAGAAGTGACTACTAACCGTCTCATTGGTTGAGGGGGGTTCTAGAGACTGATGTCGTTCCAGCAGGACTGAGCAGCTTGCAGGAGAGCCTGGTTCTGGTGAAAGAAGGCAGCCAGCCGCAGCGGTAAGCCAGTGTTTGGAGTCCGTGAGGTGAAGAGGCTTGTCCAACAGGCAGGGGTCCGTAACCAGGAAGCAGATGACCAATGGTACCAATTTGTGAGGTGCAGAGGGAAGTCCAGCAGGCGAGAGTCCAAAACCAGGGAGCAGATGACCAACGGTACCAATTCGTGAGGCCAGAGGGAAGTCCAGCAGGCGAGAGTCCAAAACCAGGAAGCAGATGTGTGATAGGACTGACACGTGAAAAGAGATGATGTAGTCATACAAGCGGGGGTCATTACCGTTTTCAGAGAGGTGTCGGTCCAGGGGGTCGAGCAGAAGGCGAAGTCAGGCGAGTGATGAGTCAGGAAGCTGGGAAAGCGAACCAATGAAGTAAGGATACAAACCAAGGAACGGGACAGGAGTAAAGAGGACAGGTTAGTGACTAAACAGGGTAAACACTTTGAAAAACTCTGAGACATGGAAAAGAGATCAAGAGCGCGGGATATCTACTTGCAGTAAACTGTTTTCAACTATCTGGTATACAGGATATTGGACTTGTGACCCCGTCAAACCCATACCCTTTAACAGGTTTTACTCTGGACTGGCCTCACCTCAAACATATATAAACCAAGAGTTCTTGTAACAAACTTAATTCCTGTCCCTCGAAGAAAACACGAAGAATCCATAATTTAAATACAGTTCTGTAATGTTTATTTTCAGTTTGAATTATGACATGGAAATTATGGCAAATATTGAGTATGAACCAATAATATTATTTTAGAAAGTAAATGGCATAAATCTGAGGATTTTGAGAAGGGGTTTTGATTCAATTTGGACTAAGGTCTAGCTCTTAACGTTAAAATTTAGGTAAGTTTATTTCAGAGTCATGAATTAAATTATGTAAACAAACTTAGTTGGCAGTGTTTCGTGGTTCCCTCATCAGAAGGAAGATGTTCATCTCTCATTACCACAGCAGATGCATGAAGGAAGCCGGTGGCACCCCTGTCCCAAGAAGGATGTCGTTTCTCAGGGCTGTGGTTTGTTCGGCTCGTACCTTTAGCTCCAGAGTGTTTGAGATTTTTCAGGATGTCCACCATCTCTCAGCAGGACATGTCTTCCATCATATGGCTGTTGTTTCTCAGAGAGTCTCATCAACTCTTCAACCACTCATTCCATCTGCTCAGCTGATGATCCCAAGCCAACTTTCCTCATCGGCTGCCATCTCGCAACTCCGTTGGTGTTTAGTATACCTGGCACCAGGAAGACGGGCCCCTTAACTTTTAACCAATCAGAGGGCTTCTTACAGTAGGAGTATCCCACGGTATAATTAATGTAATTAAAATCTCCCTTCTCAAATTTCTTCAGAGAAGATAATACAATGACCCTTTGTTAAGGATGTGTGACACCATGCTGATACAAACAAAATGGGTTTCTTTGAATCAGAACTTCAACTGGGGGGTTAACTTCCTTTATTGGGGGGACTGTGGCTGAGTGGTTAGAGCAGTTGTCCTTCAGTGCAAGAGTTGGGGGTTCAAATCCACCAGCAGTCACATGTCGAAGTGTCTCTGGGCAAGACACTGAACCCCTCATAGCCTCTGATGTGTGTCCCATCAGTGTATGAAAGTGATCTCAAAGCACTGATTAGTCTCTTTAGAATGATTTGTTCAATTAGCTTTGTATAGATCTAGTAGAGTGCTGTATGAATGGGTAAATGAGGACACAGATTGTAGTGTCAAGTGCTTTGAGTATCTTGAAATAAGATAGAAAGGCACTATATAAGTACAGTCCATTCCATTTACTGTCATGGCGACCAGTCTCTGTTGATAAGGCCAAGTGAAGCTCTTTGATCAAGACTCTTCTTCAGGAGTCTCAAAGTCTGGTGATGCAACACAGAAGGTGAATTACACGAAGGGGTTCCAGAATCATGTAACATGTCAGGGTGGTCCCAACTGTAGATTTTAACACACACAGAGAAAGTTAACGAAGAAACTTCCTGTGACAGAGCAGGATGCCAGTATCTGTCCCAGATTAGCTGGAAAGGATGGGGTAGAGTAGACGTGGTGTATCTGAGGACATTTGTCTTAAGTTTCTTGGAAGGATGGACGCTACACTGGCAATCACCCTGTGTGAGCGTCTGACTTATAAAGTGTGCAGAGACAGGTGCAGCTAATTGAAACGTAATAAAAGCTGTAGGTGCTGCAGTGAAGACAAACTGGTTTGATCTGTGAAGACAATCTTAAACCCACAAACAGCCAAGACAACCTAAAACACACACATGCAGACAGAAGAGGAAAAAAGGATCCAAGACACCAAGCAGTACACAGGGTGATAGAAAATCTAACCTAACAGGCATGAATTGTGACATATCCCCACCTCATGGGACGCCTCCTGGCATCCCACTTGGCTGGTCCGGGTGGAGTCTATGAAACTCCCTAATGAGGGACGTGTCCAGGACATGGCAGGAGGGCACCCAGGAATGCTCCTCTGGACCGTACCCCTCCCAGTCGACCAGGTACTGGAGTCCGCGGCCCCTCCTTCTACAACCCAGATTCCAAAAAAGTTGGTACACTAAACAAATTGTGAATAAAAACTGAATGCAATGAGTGGAGGTGCCAACATCTAATATTTTATTCAGAATAGAACACAAATCACAGATCAAAAGTTTAAACTGAGAGAATGTATCATTTTAAGGGAAAAATCTGTTGTTTCCAAATTTCATGACGTCAACAAATTCCAAAAAAGTTGGGACAAGTCCATTTTTACCACTGTGTGGCATCCCCCCTTCTCTTACAACACTCAACAGACATCTGGGGACAGAGGAGACCAGTTTCTCAAGTTTAGAAATAGGAATGCTCTCCCATTCATGTCTAATACAGGCCTCTAACTGTTCAATCGTCTTGGGCCTTCTTTGTCGCACCTTCCTCTTTATGATGCGCCAAATGTTCTCTATAGGTGAAAGATCTGGACTGCAGGCTGGCCATTTCAGTACCCAGATCCTTCTCCTACGTAGCCATGATGTTGTGATTGCTGCAGAATGTGGTCTGGCATTATCGTGTTGATAAATGCAGGGTTTTCCCTGAAAGAGATGACGTCTAGATGGGAGCATATGTTGTTCTAGAACCTGAACATAGTTCTCTGCATTAATGGTGCCTTTCCAGACATGCAAGCTGCCCATGCCACAAGCGCTCATGCAACCCCATACCATCAGTGATGCAGGCTTCTGAACGGAGCGTTTATAACAACTTGGGCTATCCTTGTCCTCTCTGGTCCGGATGACATGGCGTCCCAGTGTTCCATAAAGAACTTCAAATCGTGACTCATCTGACCACAGAACAGTCTTCCATTTTGCCACACTCCATTTTAAATGACCCCTGGCCCAGTGCAAACGTCTGAGCTTGTGGAGCTTGCTTAGAAATGGCTTCCTCTTTGCACTGTAGAGTTTCAGCTGGCAACGGCGGATGGCACGGTGGATTGTGTTCACTGACAATGCTTTCTGGAAGTATTCCTGAGCCCATTCTATTATTTCCTTGACAGTGGCATTCCTGTTTGAGGTGCAGTGATGTTTAGGGGCCCGGAGATCACAAGCATCCAGTAGAGTTTTACGGCCTTTACCCTTACGCACAGTGATTGTTCCAGATTCTCTGAATCTTTTGATGATGTTATGCACAGTTGATGATGATAACTTAAATGTCTTTGCTATTTTATGCTGGATAACACCATTCTGGTATTGTTGCACTATCTTTATGCACAACAATGGTGGAATTGGTGATCCTCTTACCATCTTGGCTTCTGAGAGACACTGACACTCTGAGAAGCTAATTTTATGCCCAATCATGTTGTCAATTGACCTAATTAGTGTTAATTGGTCTTCCAGCTGTTCGTTATATGCTCAATTTCCATTTGCCAGCCAACTTTTTTGGGATTTGTTGACACTGTGAAATTTTGAATCAACATATTTCCCCTTTAAAATGCTACATTTACTCTGATTAAACTTTTGATCTGTCTTCTATGTTATATTACGAATAAAATATTGACATTTGCCATCTCCACATCATTGCATTCAGTTTTTATTAACAATTTGTTTAGTATCCCAACTTTTTTTGAATCCAGTTTGTATAATGTGTGTGTGGTGGGACACACTGATTGGGGGGGGGGGGGGGGCTCCCAGGGCTCCCATGGTTACAGTCTGTGGTACAGGCTATTGACCGTTTTCTGTACCACATACTGTACCCAGGGGAGGCCACACCTAGTCTGTATGGTTTACCTAAAATCCACAAACAAGGTGTACCTTTAAGACCAATTGTTAGCATGATTAACCCTGTCACTTACAATGTTTCCAAATATCTGGCGTCTGTACTCATCCCTTTAGTTGGCAGCTCAGAACACCACATACAGAACACCATGGACTTTGTGGATAAGGTGAGGGATGTCATCATGGAGACTGATGAAACAATGGTCTCTTTTGATGTCACATCACTCTTTACGTGCATTCCTGTTGATGATGC